AAAGGAAGGAAGGAAGGAAGGAAGGAAGGAAGGAAGGAAGGAAAGAAAGAAAGAAAGAAAGAAAAAGAAAGAAAGAAAGAAAGAAAGAAAGAAAGAAAGAAAGAAAGAAAGAAAGAAAGAAAGAAAGAAAGAAAGTTTGTTTTCGGGAGAAAACAAAAGGAGGAAAAATAAACCTTTTTTTAAGCTCCCCTTTCGAGTTCCCAACTCCTCCCCGCATGCCAAAAATTGTGGGCTGGGGGTGAGGGGGAGGAAACGAGAGTCACAATCTTCAGAAGGTATTGTTTCTTGACAACGCTACAACCCCTCTTGGTTCACAGGTTTACGGCCAAAACGGAAGCTGAACCGGTTTAAAAGAGAAACCACCACGGAGAAATGGATCCAAATTTCGGAACGAACTTCTCCCTAGCTCCTCGGAACAGCGTCTTTGCATCAGTTTTAGCAATAATTTCTTTGGGAAAAGACCCCGAAACCCGACTCCAACCTATAGCGGATCTGATCTAGCGCGGCTTTACAAGGAAAACTTTTACATATATATATATATATATACACACACAGCAATTCCCTCTGTTTCTGAAGGTTGTTGGCCTTGCTTATTTTCAAGAAAAGAGAATTGCAGAGCTGGCTGCCGTCACTGCTAAGTTTAACTGGATCGGGAGTCGATAGGATTACTTTAAAGCCAATGTCTAAGCAGAGCTGAGCTGGGCGACCAAGTAGGGTGAGTTTTGTTCGAGGAACTTTCACTTGCACTGAACCAAAGCTGGTTATTTCGCCGGGAAGAGCAATAGATTAATCGGGACTTGGTTCAGTCAACTGATATTTTTTCTGATGCGAAAAGGCAAGGCTTTAAAAAAAAATGCAGTTTTTTTTTTTTAAAAAACTTAGCCTTCCATGATTTAGCTTGGTACCGAATAAAAGGTCAAGAAACACGCAGCTAATTATATAGTTCATTTTATTCAGAGCATCCATTCGCACATAAGATCTATCTTATAGTAAGGATTTCTGAATTTAGCAGAAAAATACAACTCTTGATTTGTTCAAAAATTTTTGGTAGGCTCTTTGTCTTGCTTATTTTAGTGTCCTTTCCTCCTGGGGGTGTGTTGGGGGCTCGAAGCCTCGATATTGATGTATTATATTTAGCAGCCCTGTTTCAAGAAAAAAAAACCCTCCAAATTAAATCAAATAAATTACGAATTATAATAATACTTTCTGGGGTTGTTTTTTTCCCCCAGGTTTTATTTCTAGGTTTGCTGGGATCCGTCTCTCTAGTCTAGTGTATGATTTGGTATACAGACGTACCTGTAAAGGATCTTAAAACTTTTGAAAAAAATTAAAAACATCCGCATGACTCAACCAAGGAGAAAGCTCAGCAAACATACATGGAATATTCAGTGACACGTGGTTCTAACTTTTTTAACCTCTCTGTGCATTAAAGAAAATATTTACAAATGCCTTTGCCTTTTGTTGCTTGCTCTGCATTTAAAACACACACACACACACACACCCCTACCTAAATGCAAGTAACTGTGACATGGCTCCACTTGTGCATGTGCAGTGTGCATGCTTGAGTGTGTGGGTTTATGTTCTTGTTATGTTTGCCCAAAGAACAAACAGCAGGACGGTATGAAATCACACCCATTTACAGAAGGAGGAGGAGGAGGAGGAGGAGGAAGAGGAGGAGGAGGAAAGAAGGAGGAAGGAGGAAGGAGAAAGGAGAAAGGAGAAGGAGAAGAAGAAGAAGAAGAAGAAGGAGAAGGAGAAGGAGAAGGAGAAGGAGAAGGAGGAGAAGGAGAAGGAGAAGGAGAAGGAGAAGGAGAAGGAGAGGGAGAGGGAGAGGGAGAGGGAGAGGGAGAGGGGAAAACCCACATATTTTTGAAACTAACGTTTTAGCGCTTGGCTTCAAATGCATAGAATGTTTGCTCTGCAAACGAGGATGCACTTACAAAAAAAAAACCACCCTCAACACGTGTTATAAATTATTAAAGCGTAAATAAACCTATAAACAAACGCGCTTCCAAAGACCTGGTCGTTAAACCTTTCGGTGCCTTTTCGGGATGTGCATGCATACCCTCCCCATTTTCCCCCCTTTCCTTTGACTGTCCTTTGCATTAAAAAAAAAATCAAAGCATCGTTTCGGAGATTAAAGCCTTTTCTATAGAAACTACAATTTATTTATTTATTTATTTATTTATTTGCCCTCCCTGCTTCTCCTTCATGGAGCATCTGCTCTGACTACGTTTCAGAATTGCACCCATCCGTTTACCAATTATGAGGCGGTTTTCTTCATCACCCGGAGGCCACGAAGGCTGCTGTTTCGTGGCTCTTCAAAAACTCTTCAAAAACGAGACTTTCTGACTTCCGGAGTGTGGGTGGCAAAGGACCCTAAAACGGTGCAAAACTACGAGTGGCCTTCGACTTTTTTTTTTTTT